GTAACGTTGTGTATTTGATGTCCGTAGCTGCGTAGACCGTTCATCTTGTGACGCTGCTCCTTACGCGTGCGTAGTACGTTTAAGTAGGACTCGTGAGTAATGTTCTTCTTAACCACGTACTTTTTTACGCCTTTGGCTTTCTTTTCTACGCCGTCCAGCTTCAGCACGCTGTACATCTTTGGTTTTAACCCTACATATTCCACGATGGGCTTTCCAAGCATCTCGTCCTTCATCTTCCCGATTACTTTCTTGTTCTTCGCGGAGTAAAGGAAGTGCTCCTTTGGGTAACCACTGGTGTCGTACTCGTCTATGTCCTGCATGCAGTCCTGGTAAACGTCTTCCGTCTGCACCTCCAGGATTAAAGAGTCGGTGTCCGTGTAGAGAAGGTGGCAGCGGTCTCCGTACTTCGGCTTCAACTTGTCGTAGTAGAACTCGTACATGAGCAACTTTGATAGGTCTAACACTGTAAACCCCGTGTATACGGGTTTGTTCAAGAAGAGGTTCGCCTTCTTCATGTGAATCACGTAGAAGTTCAGCATCTCCACGTACCTTACGAATCCTGGCWGCGACACGTATGCCTCTGCCTCCTCTCTGGCGCCGGCGATCTTCACGCTGACACGCTTACGGATGTTCTCCATCGTCTTCCCAAAGACGSAGTTGTTCATCAACTTGAATAGATTCTTCTCAAAGTCGTTCTTTGCCGCAGTGCGCTTTTGGGTGTTGAAGTCGATGTAGGAGCGCATCCACGGCTCCTGCGTGAACTTCAACACGCGGTGGATCTTCTTTACACGCATTCCATGGCGCACGTAGAATTGCAGGTTGCGGTAATGCACGACGTACTTCTCTTTGTCCATCAGGTTCATCGYTAGCTTCCTGTAGGRCTTGTAATTGGGACACATTTGCTTTTGCAGCGGCGACAGCTGCGCAAATGGTATCTCTATAGCCTCCGGCGCTAGGGGGAACTCATGCATGTAGAAGTCTCACGCATGTAGAAGTCTATCGACCGGATCTCATCCCATTCGAAGTCGCGCACAGGCATGTACTGCGACATTGCCCAGCCGTAGAGGTTGTTCGCGTCCAGTAGAAGATGTACGTGGTTGGCTTCTCCGGGTCGTGCTCTACTAAGGGGTTGTTGGCGCGTGCGTAACGACGGCTTGGCCCGCAGACGCCCCCACGGATCCCGTCTTCCATAAACCGGTACATGTCGTACTCGGTAAGGAGGTCCAGCTGCGCGTTGGTCTTCTTCAGCAGGGCACTCCAACTCAACCCGGGTGCGTTGTAGAAGTTCGCGGGATCCAGCCCGTAGTACTCCATAGCCATCTTCCGGAAGCTTTGGAAGACGTCCGCTAGTAGGACGACGTCGGAGCGTAGGTAGATGTCGTGGTAGTCGCCCATCGTTTGGCATTCGTACTTCTGCCACACATCTACTGCGTGCTTGTACTCGGCGTCTGATATCCCTGACTCTGTTAAAGTGCTGTAGAATCTCTCTTTTGGTGGCMGTGGCCCCTCGAAGCGCTCCCAGGAATCCATGTACTCGTATGGGAACACACCCTTGCGTTCTGCGCCGTATTGTTGGGAGATGGGGAAGTTGGTGTTGTATTTGACGAGGTTCGCTAAGGAGTCCGCCATGAACTGCTGCGAGTCTAAGAACTTCAGCTTGCCCACAGTTACGAACATGTAGCGCTCTTTGTTGTTCGGTATGCACTTGACGTCGAAGCCGTCCGTGCCCTGTAGCAGCAGATGGGAGTCGTAACCGCGGAGGTTGTGGAAGAACACGGGGATCTCCATGTCGGGGTCCACGTGCGTACGACATCTTCAGTGGGCAGCTCCTATGTGCGCGCCCGTCAGGGGGCAGTAGTCTAGCACCTTGTCCATGTAGAAATCCTATGCGAATCTTTTGTTGCAGTGAATGCAGTGCGTGGAAGGCTTGCCGGGCTTCTCTCCTTTCTTTGCGTAGGTACCGCACTTGAATTGCGCTTCCCCGAGATACTTACCCTCCTCGTCCCACGCTCTCTTTGCTTGCCTGCCGTATTGCAGGAGATTCCTATCGCATACGTGACAAACCTTAGCCTCCGCATATGCATCCTGACTCTCTTTGGTGAATGTTACCTTCTTCTTGCGGTGCAGGCGCTCTCTTATTGCTTCCTCCTCCTCCTGCAGGGCATCTCGCCGTTACCGGGTATTGACACCGTCTCGAAGTTGGTTTGGGATTCCATATATAATAGGAAATATCTTATGCTCAATTCCAAGCCCTTTTCAGATCGTCGTAGTCATATTCGCAGTCCTGGCAATGCCAATACAACTTGACCTTCGTATCGAACTTCTTACCACACCCACAATCATAGCTGCTCAAACATTTCTTCTTCATCCTCAAATGCTTCTTCAAATCTGCCTCTTTCTTAAAAGTCCTCTTACAATCTTCGCACTCCATATATAGACTAGCATATTTAACTACGTAGAYATGGGATGCKGGTATTCCTGGCGTAAGCCGAGGTTCTACAAACGCGGGTAAACCTCGGGTGGTCACTGTTTTGGAACCCCCATCCCCTATACTACTATTGGAGATTTCGCCTGCAAAGTCTTCGGACGGTGGGGATTCCGAGATCAATTTCGATAGAAGTCTGACAGAAGAAAAGAGGTCGGAACTCATTTCAAGTCATCAGAACTTTTCATGTTTATGGAAAACGGGTTGCGCGGCATACAATGACAAAAACGCCCGAGGGAAGGCAATAGAGGAGCTCAGCGATTAGTACAACATCGAGACATCGACCCTCCGCAAAGTCAAGCATGGGCATCTGGGGTCAAACAAAGAGAGGTAAAAAGAGTGTTGGAGGGGCAGGCGGTCAAGTAGAAGTTCTATGAAGGACTTCCCTACATGAAAGAGGATATTTTTTTCCAAGCACCTCGTCRAGCGTTAAAATAAGGAAAACAACAGCTACGGCCCGCTTTCGCTGTGAAGTAGCGGCCGCCATATTGAAAATATATAACTAACCAATCAGCTGACAGAGTTTATTCAACTCGCAACAAATGATTTTCGGTTGGTGGTTGATGGTTCGGGTTAAAAAACGTGCAACAATGACTTGCAACTTGCAACGCAACAATGTTGCGCGACAAGTTGATGGTTTCTTTTTCCTTATTTCGACCCCTTAAGTTCAGTGCTATCTAATTTTGTACACCATCCTGGATAACGCTACGATTTACAAATATAAGATATGGCTTTATTTTTCGCTGTGTTTGTACGAGCTGCAAATTTTACCCTAATTGATGTCACCGGTATGTTTCGAAAACTAAAGTATGTAATTACAATTCGACTTATGTCTCACAGGTTTTGTRCTAAAAATTAAAAACGATGGTGTTCTGATGCCTAAGTTGAAGTTTTCCTTGGCCTTGGATTATGTCAAGTTGTTGAACCTTGAAGACGAAAATGACATAAGTAATTTGCACTTCTACATTATTCCAAGAGGTAGGTGTCATCAGTATAGAATTATATTGTTTTTKTGGTTATTAGGTAACCATTGATATGGTTACTAATTAAGCAATAGAAAACTTATTCCGTGTTTACATAGCCTGATAGCAACACGAGGGGAGGTTGGGAGAATTCGAGACAGTTATACAAACCCGAGASGTAGTCGAGGGTTTGCATAACTGTCGAGAATTCCCCCAACCCCCCGAGTGTTGCTATCAGGCTATGTAAGCACAGAGAAAAAAGTTTTCTATTGCTTTTATAAAATAAATACTAAGGGAAAACATTACCACTTGCAAGAAAATAAATCTTTATTTGAATTTGATTCTCATATCAAAATGCAAATTCTCCATACATCACGAACTTCGATCGTTAGCCAATCAAATTTTGTGTAATAAACGCCAAGGAGGCAAATGTGAAGCGAGAAAGAATCGCTAGCTATTTTAAATATTTATCATTCTAAAACTTTAAAACAAATACAAAGAAATGTCCAAAGATTGAATAGAAAT